ACAAAAATCATCATACACTTGGACAAAAGCATCTTAATAATTTCTGCAATTTAAAATAGGAAATCTGAAATCGGTCATTTTAACAGGTTCGGTTGTTCAATCACTATTTTTAAATCGCTATTACACTCTGTGCGACCTTGTGCGAAATTATGGTAATACAGGTACCTATATACATACATAAAAACGCAAAATTACTATCCTGACCCATACTGAAATATCATTAAGATATTATTTCTTTCGAAACACTTGTAAACGATAATTTACTTATTAACACGTAGATTTATAAAAATGCCTTTCTACCGTATTATACGATATGTAAAACGTATCCTTATATAAAATCACGATGTTAGACTCGATCAAATTGCAGACTTTTTTTTTCATCCAGACCTATAATTTCGTACGATAAATAATACTAAAAGAGGAAGAGTTAGTTACGAAAGAAAAGGATGACGCGTACATTGTGCCAACGAGTTTTGGTTCGCATTGCTTCTATTTTTCTGGTAACCTAGTCTCATATATCATAAGGAGATACATAGAAGGTAGAGAAAGGCACGCGGGAAGAAGTCGAACCAGGTCCCCGTGCTCTACCATCTGTTTTTATCTAAAACCATAGGAAGGAGAGATCAAGCTGACAGTAAAAGTAAGATCTATTTTCATTTGCAGCAGATTGCCGACAGACGCGCGTTCAAAAACGAGACGTAAACCGGTGTTATCTATGCATACAACGTAGTATGTATTACATCCTGGAATTTCATGCATGACTTCAAGCCGCAGGATTAGTCTCTCTCGCAAGAGTTCTGCATACACTACTGTTCATAAGTATTAGGACACCTATGACGTTCGTACAGAAAGTATTATATAATTGAAATTACATTTCTTCCTCGAAATTAGTATATCGTATAAGCCATTCAGAAGCCATAAAATAATTAAACTGCAATTTCTCAAATTCTTCCAATTATAGTATCAAAGCACATGCTTGGTGCATAACTCTTCATAAATAAGAAAAATTTTAAAAACTTAATTTCATGGAAATACTCCTTTTGGCTTCCATTTTGGTTTCCAGCGTTTTTCTCGTAAATGTCAAGATTTATGAGAAAAATAGAAGAGGACAAAGTTTCGTTATTTTTTATACACAATACGATGGCTCGAGTAGATTTTTCAAATTTGCAATGGCTTTCGTGTGACGACGATACCCCGATTTTTTTTTTTACATCAATAGCTACGATTGTTCTGTACTATATGAAAGCAGTTAGCGAGACAAATTTAACGACCTACAACACTGGCGACTCGTGGATTTTACACTTAGCGTACTGTAGTCTTTAATTATTAAATCGACTCGACAATTTTCTTTCGAAACAAAAACAGATGTATTCGTTATTACAACAAAGCAGAAATTATAATATTTCAGCTGCTGCAGCACAGTAGAACGTATTGAGTAGCCGCCACTGACCTACAATAAACTCATTTTCTTATTTTTACGACTAAGGTAGATTGCACGATATTGAAACGTGTTGCGACACAAAAAGCAAGAAAATTTATTTGAACTTATACTTCGTTTAAATTCCCAATTATAATATCTCATCTATTTTCATACATAATGTATAATGGAAGAGCCAAATTAATTAGCAGTGTAAAATGCAAATAGATATTTAGAAGTATTATCGTATGTGCTTGTTGTACTTACGAAATTTTAGGCTAAAAATTTTTTCAGGATTATAATAAATTTGTAATGACTGTTTAGGTTTGCTTTACATTTTCTAAGCGTCATTAATACTTATGAACGGGAGTGTACTTACATATCTGCCATTCTAGTCCATTTCTAATTTATGCTGCTATCTAGCTCATTCATTCATTTTTTAATTATTATTAAAATGAAAACTACAAGGGAAAAAAGATGAGTGAATGTTAGTTTGAGTGAAACGAACTTTAAACATTGAAGAGCTATACTTTACAGTCACGCTTGAAAAATGCATTAATTTAATTTAATTAAAATATTTGTATAATAAAGAAGGTTTCACTTTATCTTTATTTTCAAATTGTTTCTTGTTCAAACTTCAAATAAGTGATATATAATTTCGAAGTGATCGTAATAATTTAACTTATGGTCTAAGGCTAGATCGATTAGTGACTAACAATAAGGTAATATACAACGATTTAAGCTGTTTCAAATTTTCATAATAATGTAGATAATAAGAATAAAAAAGAGATGTACTTCAAATTCGGTTTTCCATCGCAACAAACTAAACACCGAAAGGATTAAAGATGACAGCGTTTGAATCTCAATCCCGAAGTGATTCGAAGTTTTCCAATACTGTGAAAATTCGAATCATTCGAACCTAATTCGATACTTAAAACTCTTGAAAGTCTTGAATCTGGAGGTTTTGTCATTTCCGTAGGTCTTGAAATCTTGGTGAGCATTTAATATCTAACTTGCAAGCATTTAGTATATTTGATATTTTATGACAATGATACTGCTTGGACAAAGTCATTTAAAATACGTGCAAGATATTGAATACTCGACAAGCTTTCAAATCCTGCCAAAAGTTTCAAGACTTTGAAACCTATCAAAGCTTTCAAGATTTATCAAAATTTCCAAGTCTTTCGCCAGTTTGTGTATATTCGAAGCGATTCGAAGTGCTTCAGAACCCATCACTATCTGTGGACTGTATAAATAGAGATTGCACGACTGTAGATTAATTATGCGCGCTTTGTTTTGTGAACACATTTGTGTTATTACGTGAATAGTTCAACTGTAATTTTACTTCTAAGGCAGATTCAATACTGCACGATATTGAGATAACGTTGTGACGACAGAATGAAAATTGTTGCAATATAAAAGGCAAGAAAATATATTTAATCTGTACTTATACGATAATTATGTCTATACACAATGTACAATAGAAGAGCGAAATTAATTAGATAATCTTATTATTATCAACAGTAAAACAAAGTAAGGAAATAAACATTCACAAGCATTAGGACACTTGTTGAATATAAAGCAAACCTAAACAGTCATTAGAAAGTTAGTATGATCCTGAAAGAAATAATTCAGTCTGGGATCTCACAGTGCAACGAGTACATTCGATAAAAATTCAAAATATCTATTTCCACTTAAGATGCCGTCATAAATATAAGATCGCAATAGTGTGTCATCGATTATGTCACACTAAATATTGACACAAAATTCGAGTTTGACGGTTGTCGAAGGTCGCTGAAATTGTAGCCGCTTTCATGTAATATAAAAAGAATTATATCTATATATTTAAAACATTTCGTGGTATTAATATCTATTCAAGCCATCGTATTGTGTATAAAAAATAATTAAACTTTGTCCTCTTCTACTTTCCTCACAAAATTGATGAAATTATACGCATCATAAATATAAATATCTTTTATACCATTGTTTTAAAAAATTCCTCAGCTAAATTCTTATAAGCGTTTAAGTTACATTATTACAACGATTCACTTTATAGTACCAAGTTAATCACGTTGGCTTCTGAAATAAATTATTTTCTATTCAACGAGCATCAAAATTTTTGCCATTTAACGGTGTTAAGCTTAATCATTAAAGAAATTTATTTTAAATATAAAAGGATAAGCACCAAAACAATTGCTTTAGAACTAAAATTTCAAAAAAATTGAAAAACTGGAGTTAACCTCACTTTTTATCTCTTCGCCGAAGAGATATAATTTAAATCGTACAACACTTCTTTCACGAATATAGCAGGTGTTCTAATAATTCATAAAAACCAACGTACCTACATAAAATGACAGAAAATAAAATGAATCGTCGGTGAGCGGAAACTCGTGCGTAAAAACAAGCGTGTAGATCTCCGGGCTAATTATCGAAACAGAGGAAGAGAAAGAGTGGGGGAAAGAGAAGCTGTTGGAGATAAACGAGCGGCTCTCGAGCGGAACACACGAGTTCGTGTCCGAACTCGGACCAGAGCAGGAGCGCAGGATCTCTATAAATGCGTGAGTGCGTGCGTATATGATTTCCAGTCGGTGGGAGTTCAGCCTTTCGGCGAGAACGATACGCGTTGCGTATAGAAGCCGTTCCCTTGTGTCCCCCCACTCCTAACCTCTTTCTCTCTCTCTCTCTCTTCTTCCTTTTTCTATCTTCTTGTTGTCCCCAAACTCACGCAGTGTGCTCGAATCGCATTAACTTCACCGACACTTTGCACGCGTGTACATACTCGACACGTTTCACCACGAGGACGTTACCTTTTGTGTTTACCTGTGACAATCTTTTCAACGTTGTACGCTATATCGTTGCACAAGACGAAGAGAAACATCAAATTAACATAAAGTGATATTACACAATGAGAATATTCTATGACAGAGATGAATGAAACGTAAAGTGTGTCGAAAGGAGTATAGTTTCGTTCGATAGATCGTTTAGAAAAGAAGCCTTTCGAATATCCTCGATCGATAGAAACGTCTTCGCGTTACTCGAGGTATTAGAAAATTATCTCTCCACTTGCTCTATGACTAACAGAGTACCGCAGAGTTGTGCGCGCGAGAATACCAGAAACTTTCACCACTCTCCTTGGAATAATCGCGGTCTGGTAATTGTTGAAATGCAATGGCGCGTTATTTTCACGTTCCAGTGATCGCGCGTGAAAGCGTGACAGGCTCATCATCGTCCTGATTAAACGTGATACAGAAGAAGAGGCGTGTAATTCGTTAACTGGAAAATTGCCGAATAATTAGCGTGGAACGATCGTGGTACGTAAAAATGCAGAAAGAAATCACGTTGAACGTAATCCGCGATTAACGTCTTCGGTGATACGTTCGAACGTGTAAATCTACGGTACTAGTAATCACGTGCTCGCGCGAAACGTCGACGAGTGCACGCATTCATCACTGACATTTCCACCAAGGGGAAACAAGGGAGTGCAAATAGCGTGCCCGTGAGTCAGTCGTGCCGGCAAGTGTACTTCTACTTCTATAAACAGTTCCAAGGATTTGATCGAGGAAATCGAGCTGTGAAATTCGACGCCACCGATACTCTCGCATCAAGCAATCCTTTGTTTTACAATTAACGTTGACCTCGGTGCGATAACGCTGAACCGATATCCGGCGCGCGCGCCAATACCTCACTGTGCCGTTTTGCATTATGTAAAGCTTGTGACGCTAAGAAAAAATAACGAAGAGAAGAATCTTTTGCGGTGGTACGTAATGAATATCGCGTGTGCGCTTCAAGGTTAGAGAAAAAAGGAAATGGAAATGGTGCGTCAATTTTGAAGAAGAGAATAGTAAATCGAAGGATTGTGTATTAAAATTGGGGAAAATGAAGTATGGTGATACATGTATATACAGTTACTCTAAAAAATATTTGGACACTGAGTAAGTTTGACTGGATAACGATGTATCTCGCTTAAATGTAAGAGGATTGCGTCGATGCATTTTTGTTGCGAAGCGAAATTATGTTATAAAAATATTCTTACACTTAGCAAAAGTAAATACTTCTATATTTTATTGTAAATATGAATAATAGGAATGTATGAAATATTTATTTTTGCTAAGTGTCTGAATATTTTTATAACATAGTAATTCGACATTCTTTTTGTGATAAATTTCTATATTTATAATATTTTTGCCTGCGTCGTGCTTAATGTAGTGTTTGAATATTTTTGGGAGTGACTGTGTGTAAGAAATATTATCTACAAATTTTTTTAACTGTAAAAGATACGAGAAAATCTGAAGGAGGACGTGTTGAATGTTATGTACAAATATTGAGACTTACGGAAAAAGAAGAAATTCTGCGAGTATACGATAAATTGAGGGAAATTCTATCGCGTTCAAAATGTGGAATATATTGAAAGAGTTTTTGGAACAGTACTTTCTGCTGGGGCTGTTCGTGGGTATTTTGTACTGCTTTCTCACTTCTACCTACGATTTTTGGGAGAAGCGTGGCGTGCCCTTTCGGAAGCCCACAATACTGTTCGGAAACTTCGCTCCCATGCTATTGTTCCGGAAATCCCTACCGGAAGGTATAATGGAGATGTACGAGTGGTTCAAAGACGACAGGTATTTTGGTGCATTCCGTGTTAGATCGCCAGTGCTGATTTTGCGGGATCCAGACCTCGTCAAGAACATTTGTGTGAAAAATTTTGCTTGCTTCTCGAATCGTGGAATACCGGTGAACTCACAGGTAAAAGAAAAATATTTTTGTACGAGTAGATTAATTTGATTAACGGAGCATGGTATATCTTCAACGTGAAAATATCTTTGACGATAGTCAGTGTCTAATTATTATTTTTTATACTTAGCGTTCATTAGTAGATACATTTTAGATTTTCAATATTTGACAATTTTTTATATTTTGAAGTTGTATTCTATATTGTCGAATTCACAGTTAGTGTCTAATTATTATTTCAAGTTTCCAATATTTTCCGATGTATTATATTTAACAATTGTAATTTACTGTATTTAGCGTTGCTTACTATTCCAGATTTTCAATATCTTACCAGTGTTTATATTACGTTTGTATTTCACATTCTTTTGTTAGTGTACCTTTTTTTGTGTTCAATCTAAATTTGAACCACAGTTAACTAATGATATTTTAGCACACTTTAGTATTTTTTATAATTATGCCAAATAATTCTTCTACATCCTTAAGTTCAAGGGAAAAAGGATGAGAGTCCATTTTTTGCCTATTTTGATATTTGAGTACATGTGGGTGTATTTTTTATTCTAGAATTCATTTTGTACATAGAAATGGGATGAGAGATAAAAGTTCCAAGTTATTGCCATTTAAATAACAACAGTACATGGGGAAAAAGATGAGGGTATCAGTGTTTGTATGAAAGAACGATAGCAGTGTGAGTTGTACAGCGCCTTTTTGCTATGTTAATGCATTTTTCAAGCGTGACTGTAAAATAAGTGTTAATTAATTCAATAATGTCTGGAGAAGTTCGGTATAGCTCTTCGATGTTTAAAGTTCGTTTCACTCAAAATAACATTAAGTGGACACTCATCCTTTTTCCCCCTATACTCTTTAAATGAAAAAAAAAAATAATGGTGAGGAAAATAAAAATTGTTTCTTTTAAGAACTTTGACCCAAAGAAGGAAACAATAAGTAATGATTAAAATCATGTAACTTTATTTGAAATTCGACTATTCCAAATTTTATTGTTTAAAGGTTTCGCTAAAAACTGTAAAAAGAATATTAAATATCTAAATTCAAAAAGTGTGAGAAATTTACGTTGAGAATATATTTCTTCTGTTACTCGATATTCAAGTTGACTGCTCGATCGTTATTTAAACCAAAAATTTATACATGAAAACATTTTACACCATTTTTCATGAAAAAGTAATTTGAATATTTAACTTACAATAACAAGTCACGCTCGTAGTTGCAAATCATAAAAGAAGTATATTTAAAATAAACATGAATTTTGACTCTAACTTCAATGACAATTAATTGTTGCTTCAAGCTTACCGAATGCAAATTACGTATAGTTATTATTTACATTAATTATAAAAAGTATTTTAACTTCTTTTTATTTGACACGATGTCAAAACTGCAGATACCTAAGACAAATATATGTAAAAACAAACAATTCAAAAATGTTAATAACAATTTGAATAAATTTTTTATAGTCACGAAAAAATCTTAAGACAAAGGGTTATACTTGAAAGTGAAAAGAAAAGCGACATACTACATTGCAACGAATTATTCCACAGCGATAAAACAGTTTCGAATTAATAATACATCTCGTTTCACCTACTAGGACCCATTGTCCGCTCACCTGTTCAATCTAGAGGGTAAGAAATGGAAGAGCCTGCGATCGAAACTGACCCCAGCCTTCTCGTCGGGCAAATTGAAAAGGATGTTCTACCTTCTGGTGGAGTGCGGCGAAGAATTTCAAAAATTAATCGACACGTCCTCCGAGACCGATCGGCCATTCGAGATTCGCGAGTTGGCGGCGAAATTTACGATAGACGTCATTGGTAGCTGTGCTTTCGGCATACAAATAAATGCTCTCACCGACGAGGAATCCGAGTTTCACAAGGCGGCGAAAAAGTTCTCCATGCCGAGTTACAAGGCGACCCTTTGGCGGATGCTGAGAACCGCCATGCCGAAATTGTACAAATTTCTCGGGGTTCAGGTGATCGATCCAGGTGTGACAAAATTTTTCAAGGACGTTGTATTGCAGATGATCAACCAGCGCGAGGAACGCGGTATTAAGAGGCACGATTTCATGGACTTGTTAATTGAATTGAAAAATAAAGGTACCCTGGAGAACGAGTCGGGTAACGGGCAGGTCTGTAACGACGAGGACGCAGAGGCAACCGAGGAAATAGGTATGTTAATTAGCTAGACGTGAGAATGAGTGATAGCCGAGGAGGGAAAGCACGGGGACGCTTGTGAAAGCGTGGAAACAGGATAAACTCGGTGTAGCGGGTGTATCGCGACGAGCCCCTATCGTTTATATAGATTAGCTTGTACGAAGATAAATCGTACGCTTTACGAGAAAAATGTTCCCGTTTGGCTTAACATGTGGCCTCGTCGTATGAGTTTGATACTGTCGCGTGCGGTTTCGCTACGACGGAAATTTTTTTTCGGGGCAACTCGAACATCGACAGGTCGTGTTGCGACTTTTTACACAGGTGAACTTGAAAAGATAATCGGAGAAAACGATGTGAAACACGAGGTGGGGAAGTTGTTCGAAGAAAATCAAAGAAAATTATGTCGAGTAAGAAGTGGAACACGGTGAACATTTTCTTTACGTGACTAAGTAAACGAATTTTTGTAAAGGGCAGAAAACAAGAAACGATAAGCGAAACTTAAACGACAAAATTTGTTGAAATTGAGATTATCTACGTTTTCATTTAGATCTTATATTTTTATATTTTGCACGTGAAGTATTGACAAATGGTGGTAGATAAGAGTTACAGCATAGATTTCTGCAACGTAGCTTCAATATTGTATCACTCAAAATAGGATAAATAAACGAGATGACGTTAGATAGAAGCTTGAATACTTGAAAATTATTTGTGAACGCGGTAGTTTCATTTCTCTAATTGGTTTGTATTCCTCTCGAGGAACTTAATTATATCAATGAAAGAAGAACGTTACATAATTGATAAGTACCTTCGGTTCATATACGAGATGTTCATTGCACGCCCCGAACACGATGTACTGCATAACCACAAATGAATCAAGATAAAATTGACAGAAGAGCTTCATTCACGTAGCTGCTTCGCACATCTACATGGAAACGAAATCGTGCGTTGCATTAATGAAGCGCTTCGTTAACGTGTCACAAGAGAGGCATTATCAATTCTTCGTTAAAATCCATATTTAATGCCAGTCGTCATTTCCCATTTCACTTATCTATAAGATACTTAACAAAGCTAGCATTGTTTAAAAAAAGAATGAAAAAAATGCACGGTCGTGCATACATAACACGTATAAGATTAAAACGTTAAAAAATATTAGTCATTATTCCGAATGAACGATCCTACATCTGACATAAATAATGCAAAATTTATTACTCCGACAACACAATTACAAGACTCCGATTTGAAGAAGAAGAAGAAAAGCTGTATTTTAATCTTGAATTCAGATACACGGTATATTATGCTATTTTTTATTCCAGTAAAAATAATCATTATCGTACTCTTTCACGAATGACGTACGCATACATGTTTCTTCGTAATAATTTCACTTGAGCAATACTTGTGACTTTTGAAATTACGATCGGTCTGCTTTCATAAAGTCACGTTCCTATCGTGAGTGTATTGCTACGTCTAATCGCTGGCGAACGATAAAGAGATTTTATTTTTTTTTTTTTTTTGTTGAAAAGCTTTATCGCATAAGGCACCGTTATTTATAGAATTGGACGAGAACAGCATTGCGGCCCAGGCGTTTGTGTTTTTCGCCGCTGGCTACGAAACGTCGTCGAACACCATTGCATTTTGCCTTCACGAGCTCGCGTTGAATGCGGAGATCCAGGAGAAAACTAGACGCGACATAGAGGACGCGATCGACAGCAGAAATGGCAAATTGACTTACGACGGTGTGCAAGACATGAAGTATCTCGATATGGTGATTGCAGGTAAAAATTGATCTTCCACGGGCCAATTTCCCGTAAATTGCATACCTTGAAATGTTCCACGAGTTTTCTTGGAAAAATGATTGCTTCTATGATTGCCGCCGGCTGATGCATACGTGATTCTCGTAATCGTACACTGTCACAGTTTTCCGGAATGATCTTCTGGAATTATTCGTTTCTTCGATAAGTTTTCTCGTAGATGATGTTGCGGATAACGACTCGTATTCAGAAGTTCTTGGAAAATATGTAGAAAAATGAAAGAGAAAGAAGATATTGCATGATTAAATATTTGCTTTCTACAGATGTTAAGAAAATTGCGAATAATATAAAATTAAATAGCTTCTAATAAAATCTATATGTTTACGATATGTACAGCTTTAAGTCTCTATATGTTTAAAATGTGTATAGTTTTATATCTACAAACACGCTTAAAATGTCTAATACTTTTACGATAACTTCAACGACCTATCGCACAAGGTAATTCGAGATTATAAAATCCAGATAAGGAAATATAGTAAAATACGGAATGTTATCACTTTAAATGATAAGTAGAAATTGTTTCTTGTTTCTGACCTTCAATTGCTTTGGATCATAGACCATTAAAAGTTCTTATCCCGCCTACAGTGAGATATAAATAAAATGGTGTTCCATTTAAAGAGACGAAGTTGAACTTGGGATCTGCTTAACGCCTCCACTTAAAAAGCAATTGTTTTCGCCGTGTGATGTTTCACTTCGAATCGAACGATCCTCCTACCTGTTATACGCGAATTAATTTAACTCGTTAAATGTACGATATAAATGCAGCTAATTACGCTAGAAAATGGTCGAATAAAAGTTTCCTTCTTTTCAAAGATTTTTATCAATCTTAAAGTTTTAAAGTTACAGTTACGATAAAATTTCACAGAGTTAGAATTTATCGCAATATTACAGACTGTATCGTGCCCATTTCTAATTCGATGCTTTTAGCAAATCGACAGACAAAACCTTCTTCGTGTTGCCTTCATTTTGAACTCGACAAATATCGGACCACCTTACGTCTGAGCTAGCACCTACATCATCGACTTAAATTACCTTTTAGAGCTTGGTCCTTACCTACCACCCTCACTCCTATAAAAGAAAATCCATATTCCATTTAAATAAAAGTTGTTATTGTAGGTCACTCAGGAACGAAACGAAATAAAGTTGCTTTCTATCTGCGGCTAAAGTTACAGCCTCTTAAAAATCAGATCGTCTAAATAACATACATATACGCTGTAATTAAAAACTAAATTAAAATTAAAATTATATAAAAAGTATATGTAGAAGTTTCAAAATTTACAGCCGTGACATTTTTTTCTAGAACGTATTTTAATATCCCTAATTCTATGAAAGAAATAAATTGTTATTTCAGATTTTATCTTTTTAGAAACACTTCGCAAGTACCCTCCAGCGTCACTGTTATCTCGAAGATGCGAGTACCAATACCAAATACCGGGTAGTAAGGTCGAATTACCAGCAGGCATGCGGGTAATTATACCGATTTACGGGCTTCACCATGATCCAGATTATTATCCAAATCCTGCGACATTCGATCCCGAGAGATTTACGGAAGAGAATAAACAAACCAGGCACCCGTATACGTATCTTCCATTTGGCGAAGGACCACGAAATTGCATAGGTAATGTTTGCTAAGTATATAAGATCGTTCAAGGACAATTGTTCCAGCCCAAATAAAAGATAATACAATGTCAATGACAAAATAAAATGTCAATAAAATTTACGATTTTACAATTTTTTTTACTGGATTACATCATTACTTTATCGTGTCGATAAATGTTATCCAGTAGCTAGAATTCATGTCTCGAAGGTACGAAAGAATTTAATCGGTTACTTTAAATCTGCACTTTTCATTATGTTACAGTATTACTTTGCTATTTCACGTTAATTGTTTTCATCACTTTATAGTTTTTCCTGTTACATTTAAAATTATAGTTTTTACAGCAATTTCAACTAATTTTTTAATATTTTTTCATTCTACTTTCTGATTTTTAATATTTATTTTTTAATAAAAAAATACAAGATTGCTCATAAGAATATGTTTATTCGCCGTCAAAGAAGTTAATTGTTAATATACATTTGTCTCTTGTTCTTTTTGCAATTACTCCAAGTTTCTAAATAAACGTTATTATGCTAACAATTATGCCAACTGACATAAGAACGACGCACGCATTGATAATTTAATTAGCAGAGATTTTTTAAAAGTATAAATAGATACGTCATAATTCTCATGCATTATTGTACCGTGTTAATAAAAGGTATTACAACGTCAGCAAACTCTTAATTCATGTCATTAGCTATGACTCGATAAATCAGAAATTGCAGCTAGTCGTTACCGATGGATAACTTATGGTGCACTGTATCATATAACCTCATACAGATTAAACTGTTATACTAACATGACGTTTGTTTCAGGCATGCGATTCGCACTGTTGCAAATCAAAGTGGGGATAATATCGTTCTTAAGAAAACATCGTGTGGAAGTATGCGAGAAAACAATTATACCGATCAAATTTAGCAGACGAAGCCTCGTGACCACGAGTGAGAAAGGATTCTGGCTGAGGATCGTACAATGTCCTTGAATTTCCAAGTTTTTAACAAAACTAGACAATTTTTCATGTATAAATGTGAAAAACGTTTATGTACTTAAATTACCTCGAAAAAAATATGGATATTAGTAACTATTTTGTTTTCATAACATTAATACTGGTATGGCCAGTAGAACAATTTTAAATGTGAACTTTCTACAATCTTTTCTTCCGTATGTTTTTCTTTTTTACTTTTATATTTCATTGAAATAGATAAACACATTCTGGTTATTTATTTAAAATTATTAATCACTATCATTTTTTACAACAGTTAACGAAATTCAGTGATATTTTAGGTTACCACCAATAATGTATTTCGTTTCTAATACTTACTACACTATAATGCATTATGTTATATTATAATTAATTATGATATTTTATAAGTATAGATGTCGATACAATGCATTAGTAATTAGTCTTTTGAAGAATATACTTTGTTTTATAATATCTTGTAGTATATTGTACTTGTAGTTAACTATTGTTACCTGTCAATGTCGATACAATGCATTAGTAATTAAAGTCTTTTGAAGAATATACTTTATTTTATAATATCTTAATGGATTGTACTTGTAGTTAACTATTGTTACCTAACAAAATGATCCAAGTTGTTATAAGAATAAAATATTTATATTTTTATAAACATTTTAGATATTATGCATCAATAGTTATTATGATGTACTGATCTAATAAATATTGTACAAATAAAAAATATATTTTGAACATTTCCTGTTTATTTTACTTAGAATTATATGTACATACATCTTTAAGCAATTCATAATAGCTTCAATATAGTGTGTTAAAACAATATGTACCCAAATAATCATAATCTATCTTATACCAACTCAATTATTAAAAAAACATGATACAACAATGCTAGGATATTAATAACCTTATAAAAAAAAGTAAAATTACTTATCATAGACCTCTCTCCTTAAAGTGAAAACCATTTGACAATAAAATTATTGCAAACTTGGCGTGCACAATTGCCATTCATATTACTAACACAAAAATGGAATTGTTAACTGTAAGTGATCCTACACATTCTATGAATTAAATCAGCTCTAATCAAATAAGGTTCGCTGTCCAGGTTAAACAGATTAACCATCCAAACAGTCGATACACCGGAAAGAGTTAATGTAACCTAACTGTATATCGTCACCACTTTCAATTACATCCGCACCACAGTGAATCTTTCGTTACATACTATCATTGTATTGATTGTAAGACGTATCGTATATGTACATACGTACCGTACAGTACTTCGTTGCACATACGATAGTTACATTTGTTGTGCCTTCTGCCCGTGCATTGTCTATTGGTGGCAGCAGCTTCAAGTCAGTGCACTCTTCGTTCATAGAGGGATTGTGTATAGACACCTACGTGTGTACAGTAGGTCGTTTGTACACGACGGCCGATTATGCGATCGAAAATGTCATTTCTTTGATTAGGTGACAGTGCTTTTTTACAAACTATATCGTTCTTCTGCTTGAAGATTTTCTGCAATATTTGGTAGCGAGACATTTCGTTGAAAATAATGCTAGGGTGAGCCGTAAATCTGTTTATGTAGATGCGTAACACTTCTGTCACTTTAACTTGATAATGAAACCCTTTAAGCGATAAGGTCTATGCCAACAATACATTTCCTTCATTTTTATCAGAACACGTGTTATGATTATAATCAATGTAAACGAATTATTTTTTTTTTGACATACACCTTTTAATTGTTTCATAATAGCTTTTCACAATTGTCAAAAATATATGATCATTAACACTATTAATTAATACTTATTAGAATATTAATAAATTAAAATTTCTCTTCTTTTAAAGAAGAGAATAATGCCAAATTTATTGGCAATATGACACAAGTACCTTTCTATATATATTTCATGTATAGGTTAAAATGATCTGAGTTGTTACTCTCCTGTTATGTTTCTTTGATGCGAATGTATTTTTATCATTAGTAGCTTACTCATACAAATTTACATCATATGTACATCTTAGATATACATATATACATGTATCCATTTCTAATGCTTCTGTCATTCTATACTGTGCTAACCAGTTTTTAATTTAATTGTAGATGTCACATTACAATAGAAATACAAGTGCTCAAAGCTCTACAGTGATTGATTATGAACGTCAATTTCAAGAGGATCTGGAACGTGCTCAAGCATTAAGTTTAGAAAGTCTCGCATTAGAAAAATTTAAATTACAAAAGCAACGTTCAGAATTTAATAATATTCAACAACAATGTGTTCCACAAAGTGACATACATAAAGGAAACAGTAATATACATAGTAGTTCATCAGAAAAAGACAATACTCCACAAGTTGAAAAGTAAATGAAATTTTAACATCTCTGATTTATTATTATCATAAATTGTTTATAATTAATTTTGTATTTATTGTGAAAACTAACTGAAACATAATAAAAATTATAGATTTCAGTGTAGAAGCAGACCAAGGCCTGGATCCTTTAATACTAATCAATCTAAAAATGCTGTGATATTAGCACCACCACCAGTTCCATCTAGAAGAAATTCAGCAACATCTACAACAGCTACAACAAGTCAAGAACATACTGCTGATCTGATTAATTTTACAAGTCCAGTGAAACAAGATAATCTCAGTGATTACTGTTCTCCTCCACCTCCACCACCGTAAGAATACATTAAAATAATCTTATAAGAATACTTTTTTAAAATATTGATTGTAATTTATTTCTGTTTCATGATAGAAAAATATCTGTAGAGCCAAAATGGGAAACTCATCCCTCATTATTAAAAAAGCATGGAAAAGTATCACGCAGCAGTAGCACTGCAAGTTATCATTCTCGGGACTTCCGATATCAATCACTTTCTCCTGGCCCTAGATCTTCCACTGCACCTTGTTCACCAGGAACTCCAAAAATTAGTCCTATCATGTCAAGATCCAGTAGTACTAGCAGTAATGTACCTGATTTAACACCACAAGTAAGTAATACACATTATTATATTTTTACAAATATTTAGCAGCATTTAAATTGGAATACATTTTTGTTGTTATAACAATGATTTTATTGATAATTCTTATTCCAGCCTGCATGGAATCTTAATGATTTTAAACATTATTTTCTTACACAGGTGACGTAGAAGTGTTTTAAGTTAGATATCAGTTGCATGATATTCTATATGAAAATATTCATTTTTAGCTTATCAGTAGTCTTTTTTTATGACAAAAGTTTAATTTTAGATAATATGTGCTATTTTTCTTAAGCTGTTATAACGTTTTTTACAGATACCTCCATTACCTATGAATTACAGACCAAGTATTACTCCTTCTGTATGTGGTGTTCAAAAACCTACATTCTGTACGGATGATGAGCAGCTAAATGTATTAAAAGTGATAGAAAAGAAGCCAAATAATAATCTTATAGATTTGAGTTCTTTTGATCAAGTAGAAGATAAAACAAATGTTCGAGTCAGTGTACTAGAAGCATTTGATCCATTACTTGTTAAGACTGAGGATCAGAATGATAGTGCACAAGGTCATAAAGATGGTAATGTTGTATCAAAATTTATATTTATGTAAAATATAATTCAATATGTACAACAAAGTAATTAAGCAATTATAGTAATAACACCAATCTTATAATATATTTTGTTTAAACAGAAATACAATCACAAGTCAGTGGATCAGTGTATGACCCATTTGATCCATTTGATTACATGTATAGCACAAATGAAAGTGTTAACTCAGATCCAGTATATGTTGCTGTGGAAAAGTCTGCAAAATCTCCAGCTGTTTCCCCTGCTGCACCACCACCACTACCTCCCAGAAATTCATCAGCTTGGAATACTATTGAAAGGAGAAGAACTTCTTTAGATAGAAGAGTAAATATTCTAAAAGATTAAATATATAAATGAATAAACAATAATTAGAATCTTAGTAACTTTAACTTCTTTTGCAGAAACGACAAACACGTTTATATGAAAATGTAACAATGAGGAAAACCAGACCATCACTTAGCGATTGTGATTTAAGAGCTTTTCATGAAATCGTGAAATCCGTACGAAGTTAGTAAAATATATATATTTAACTTATTGATTTTGCAGTATTTAAAAGGAATATTAATATTTATATATATGTATCAAAAATATCTAGGTGAATTTCCGTTTAATAATCCTAGTACAAACATTGGACACGTAATCAGTCCAATGATGGAAAACTTATATCCTGAAGGCACAAGTATAAAATTAGTTGTACATCCACAGTTAATGGATTTTGATGAAAATACTCCGTCCATTTCGTTTACATGTGACGGTAAGCCTATACATAAAAATTGTTTAAAATAAATTATATAAATTAATATAAAATTTATAAAATATATTTCAGGAATTTAATATATGATTTATATTTTCTTTCAGTAAATTGTAGTGTCGAGCATGTCATTCTTAATGTCGCTTGTTCCTTAGAAGATGAAGATACGGTAAATATAGAAAAATATTGTTTGAGAGTGTGGGGACTAGCAGAGTATTTTGCACCCAATACAACTTTAGCTCAATATGAATATATACATCAGTGTATCAAATTAGAAAAAGACATTGAATTAGCTATTTTGACTAAAGCACAAATAAAACGATCTATAGCACGAACAGTAAGTATCCACTTAAAAATAAGAATATCTTAATTAACAATTATTGGTGTGACATATCTAATTTTTTTAATAGCTCCAAGATGATAATCGTGATCAATGTCTTAAACTAGAAGATATTCTTCCAAATGAACAAGTACAACCTATTTCATATGATACGCTTCTTATTTTATTAGGTATGAAATCAGAAAATATGTGTGGAATTATCATCATCTACAAAATGGTCAAATATTGTTAATTAATTATATTTTTTTTTTTTTTACTATAATTATAGAAACTGTGGAAAAAGAGATAGAACGGGTGGAAACTGCTGCTATACAATTGGCAACTACTAATCATGGTTCCAGTCTTTTACCACAACT